AAAAAAAAATAAAAATTAAAGTTAGAATCTGTTCACCTCTAATACAAGTGCTGTATACAAAGAATATGTTAAAATATTGTTACATTAAAATTGGAAACTCATTTAACCATTTCTCCTTACAGACTTGTTAGAACACCACATTAGACTATGCTATATAGTAATCCTATACTCTATATTGAGAGTTCTTAAAAATAATATATAATTTTACAGTACTTTAAAACAACCTATCAAACTATTTACTAGAGGATTATGATTAAACTTGCTGGTAAGTTGGTCATTCTAATAAAGTCAGAGTAAAGGTTTGTCAACACAAATACAATGTCTTCTTGTAATTCGAAGCTGACCTGATCTGCACACCTACATTTTAAAACAGCATGAACTTTGTTCTTTTCCCACTACTTATTTAAACTTTGCCATATGCAATCACTTGCTGATTTTCTCCATAGGTGACACCATGCTTCTTCTACAATATATCACAGGAGAATTTTACTTTTTGTTTTTTCATTTAAATTTTTAAAAATATGTTTTTCCCTAGCTGCTTCTATAATATATCAGAACACAGCAAGTCTTTTCTTTACTGAAATTTCAAAGGGCATTTATATCTTTCCATAGCCAGGATTTCAATATTTATCTTATGAAAGTGCCTTTAAGCATTATTTTGTGCTTGTGACCACAAAGTATGGAATACCTGGACTGAAGTAATAATAGAAGTGAACAAAATATTTTCAAAGTACTTTTCCCAATATAAACCAGGTAAGTGAGAATGATTAAAGTTCAGCAAGCAAGGGTTGTTAACTAATTTTGTACTTTAAACAGCTCCTGCTACAGCAGCTCTCAAATGACAGTGATTCTCACTGTGATGTATCGTTTAGTTTCCTAATTTGTCTAAATTACATTCCTAAAACTTCTAATTCCCACTAGTATAATCTAAAAATTCAAGTCTTACCTGTCAGAATTGTCTGAAAAGCAGCTTCTACATTTGTAGAGTCTAGAGCGGAAGTCTCAATGAATGACAAACCATTCTTTTCTGGGGGGGGGGGGAGATAAAAACTTCAGTCTAGTCAACAAGAGATGTAATACATTCAAACCTTCAAAAGGAATATAAAAAACTTTCTAAAAATTAAGGCCTCCCCAACTTCTTGAGCAGTAAGGGCACCATTCTACTTACACTTTAGCAGATTAAAAAGAACAGTGAGAAATTTTCATTGGCTCCTTAATTAAAAAATACTTATTACATCTATATACTACCAATGAATGGCAATGAACGACATTACTCAAAATGTAGTAAACTTATCAAATACTCAGTTATTTCCATCCATTACTGTCCTTCTCCCCCATCAACCCACAGAGTTAAGATATAAACATGGATAGGTAGGTGTTATTCACTTAGAATTCTATAACCGTATTTTTTGAAATAAAGCTTCTTGCCTGGAAAACTAAAAAACTATTATAAAAACCTTTATTCACAGCATAATAACTAGTACAGAGTCACAACTTTCATTAGCCAAGAATACACAATGCTGCCTTCTGGTAGGCTACCCCAACCAGAACAGAAGAGATAGGCAGATCCTCTACTAAAGCAAAAAAGTTCTAAATCCTAAGAAGCCGCATTCCCTGTGGGTTGTTGACACTCCCTGGGCCACTGCTTTTCAGACCCACAAAGAGCAGCCTTGGTAAAACACAGACGTAATAGAGAAAGAGACAAGAAGCACAGAATAAACTGATAGATATCATCTACCCCCTTCCAGGGAAAGGATTATATTCAACTTTTAGCAGCAAAAACTACAGTGTTTTAATGATTCAAAGTTAAGCAAAAGAGAAAGTCACCACAAACTTTCAGAACAACAATCCTTGCTGAGCATTCATGTTTACCTTTCTGAAACTACTGTAAGCGATTACAGTCATTGGAAAAGTATCAAAACTGCATGACATAACAGTAAGAAATACCAAATCACTGTAATATCATGAAATTCATACTAACCTGCAAAAGCTCTTGCTTCATCTGTAGGAACTGCCCTGAGATGACGCAAATCACTCTTATTGCCCACAAGCATGATAACAATGTTACTATCAGCGTGATCTCTCAGTTCTTTCAGCCATCGTTCTACATTTTCATATGTGAGATGTTTAGCAATGTCATACACCAATAAGGCACCTACAGCTCCACGATAGTATCTGAAAACAGAAATAGGTATTTAACTATTAGAAAACAACCATAAGATGGAAGGGAACACCAGGAAGAACTAAATATATGGATTATGTATTTTTAAAAGCACATTTAAAAATACATTTCAAAATCCTAATACTGGAATTCTTACAAGGAAAAAAAAAGTACCTTTTCCAATACCAAAAATCAGCTAATTCAGTTGATGGCAGTCTATTTCTCAGAACTTAAAACTATGAGACTTACGCTGATGTTATAGCTCGGTATCGCTCCTGCCCTGCCGTGTCCCATATCTGTGCCTTTATTGTTTTCCCATCAACCTGGATGCTTCTGGTTGCAAACTCTACTCCAATGGTGCTCTTACTTTCGAGATTAAACTCATTTCGAGTAAATCGAGATAAGAGATTACTCTTTCCAACACCAGAATCTCCAATAAGGACAACTGAAAAAAAGACAAAGCACTTAATGTCAGATGAATGAGGCAGACACGTTCAGAATTACCACCATGTTTTAAAGCAAAAAGGAGCATCTGATTTTTTAAAAGGGATGGGGGTAGGGGAGGGTGAAGAGCCCATGTTCTTAACCTGTTACCAATTGATAAAACCAATTTATTCTTTTTAAACTGTGTCTACCTACATAACAACTTCCACACATCATCTGCTTAGCACAAATACAGTATCCTGTCTTACACATGCAATTTTAACTACAGGTCCACTAGGCACTGATTAATTACCATCAATGCTATACCAACCTTACTACCATAGAAGGTAATAACATGAAAGATAAATCCTACACCAAATAAACAATTTGTTTTTTTGTTTTTTTTTTTAAAGATTTTATTTATTTATGTATTAGAGAGCGAGAGAGAGAGAAACAGCATGAGAGGGGAGAAGGTCAGAGGGAGAAGCAGGCTCGCCGCTGAGCTGGGAGCCCGATGTGGGACTCGATCCCAGGACTCCAGGATCATGACCTGAGCCGAAGGCAGTCGCTTAACCAACTGAAGCCACCCAGGCGCCCCAAATAAACAATTTGTGATTAAAGAGTATCATACATGAAAGTAATAAAGGATGTTAGTGAGTAGAAAGGAGAGAAAGAGTGAAAATGTTCTTCTTAGTTTCATCAAAGACTGGGTGTGACCTCAGGACTCACACCTTGGCAAAATGAAGCACATTTACCATATGAGGCATCAGGTTTATAAACTTTGCCACCCAGATCACAGAAACTAGAATGACCTTTTCATAGCTGCATTTATCAGATGGGCAGGAAGCTATAGAGACCCCTACAAAAACAGACACCCCAATTAAGTTTAACAGGGACCCCAGGAAACTAATAATTCTTGACTTACTCTGAGTAAAGGCCAAAGCAAGGAGGGCACATACTTTCTCTTATGACTTAAGAATTTTTTAAAAACAAGTTTGGGGCGCCTGGGTGGCTCAGTTGGTTAAGCGACTGCCTTCGGCTCAGGTCATGATCCCAGGGTCCTGGGATCGAG